AGAAAAAACAATTGAGTTCTCTCACCTTGAGAGGCTATTTTTCTGAGTCTTTTTTTTTTTGGGCTTTTGTTTTTGTTTATCTATTTTGGTCTGTTCTCTCATTTTGAAACTTGCTCTTACTGCGCCACATCTTAAGGACGGGGAATTTTGTATACTTCTTCAAAACTAGATTTGTATTTGCATCTTGTAATTGTTAGTGGTGTAGTTTTCCGTCATTGTTAGTAGTATACTTGCCTTATACTCTGTGTTTTTTTTTTCTCTGCCATCATAGCTTAGCATTGTTAGGGTTATAGCTTATTTCTGTAAACTTGGCAGTTGATGGATATAGGAGATGCGAAAAATGGATGCGTGATGATGCCGTAGACTCAAAGGAGTCTAAGACAACCTCATGGTTCAAGCGATTCATAGGGCGCGAGCAAAAGCCAGAAGTGACCTGGCCATTCCCATTTGTGGAGGGTAGACTGTTTATTTTGACCATACGAGCTGGCGTAGAAGGATACCATATAAGTGTCGGGGGTCGGCATGTGACATCTTTCCCATATCGAACAGTAAGAAGTTTAATAGCTGTTTCCAACATCTTGTCCTGCGGTGTCTAAATATTGTATTTTCCTTTTTTTCCCCCTTTGTTTTCTGTTTTGCCCTATCAAACATTTTAATGCTTCGTTTTATTCCCATATCGAACAGTAAGAAGTTTAATAGCTGTTTCCAACATCTTGTCCTGCGGTGTCTAAATATTGTATTTTCCTTTTTTCCCCCCTTTGTTTTCTGTTTTGCCCTATCAAACATTTTAATGCTTCGTTTTCTGTTTCTCTTTACTTTTAGGGGTTTACACTGGAAGATGCAACAGGATTAGCAATTAAGGGAAACGTGGATATTCATTCTGTTTATGCTACGTCTCTTCCTGCATCACATCCAAGTTTCTCACCTCAAAGAGTGTTGGAAATGTCGGAGAAGTGGAAAGCTAGTCCTCTACCTAAGGGCCCAATTCAAGTTTTTATTGGAGTCCTCTCGGCTACTAATCACTTTGCGGAGAGAATGGCAGTGAGAAAAACTTGGATGCAATCATCAGCAATCAAGTCTTCACGTGTAGTAGTCCGCTTCTTTGTTGCATTGGTAAGGCGTTTTTGCATTTAGCTTTTTGGTGATCAACATAATGTTAAGAGTGAAAGGGTAAAGATAAGACTAAAAATAACATGGTTGAACTGCAGCTACGAAGCATATGATTATCATAGTGGATATCATGATTTTGGATTGATTCAAGTGGGAAAGAAAGTTCATTTTGCAGAATATAACTAGTCTGATGGGGTCTCTTGTATTTAGGTGTCATTATTGCTTCAGAAGTTTACTCTTGGGCTTGTCATTTACTCAGGATCTCTCACCTCTATATTTATAACTTTTCTCAATTAAGTTTTTTGTTTCCTATTAAAAGAGGAAACATAAAGTATAATGACTTTGGAGGGTATCTTGATCTTTGAGCATTTGGACTGTCTGCTCATTAAGTACGCTATTGCTAGCGTATAACTGTCGTCCAAGTCTTACATGTTTTAATTAACTGTACAGAGATGGGAATTGGTATGCTGCCATTTTTGCTGTGAGTGTTTCTGTGGGTTAATGCGTGGAAATATGAACATGCACTGATTAATTTCTTTTAATGTTCCTTTTTTCCTATTTGGAATATAATACTTCCATCATCTTCTCTTCATATGTGATGTTTTTACTTATCTGTATGATTAATTGTGTAGAATCCAAGGAAGGAGGTGAATTTGATGATGAAAGAAGAGGCTGATTACTTTGGTGATATCGTGATCCTACCGTTCATGGATCGCTATGAGCTTGTTGTACTTAAAACCATTGCTATTTGTGAGTTTGGGGTAAGTTTAGAATTACCCTCTGATGTTCCCTCAATATATATATTTTTTTAAATGAGAGTTTTCTGCATTAAATCTGGCACGTTTGTCCGTCAATACTTGCAGATATCCATTCTGTTCAGTTCCATGCACAGTTTTTATTCTCTTTGGTTAATTACAGATTTTCAACATCTGAATGCAGGTTCAGAATGTGACGGCTGCATACATCATGAAGGGTGACGATGACACGTTTATTAGGGTGGATACTGTTCTAAAAGAGATAGAGGGCATCTCTCCGAAAAAATCTCTTTATATGGGTAATCTCAACCTCTTGCATCGACCTCTCAGAAGTGGAAAATGGGCAGTTACGTACGAGGTACAGAAGTTGGCTTGAATTTTTGGTTGAAATCTTTTTATCTTCTTTGATTCAAGAGGTCTATCTTAAGTGGGTTTGCATGTCTGGACCTCATCTGTTGAAATTGAGTCTCTTTTCTCTGCTTGCAATTTTTACTTTTTTATTATTTTTAGAAGTTTCTAACAGTTTGCATTTGGACCCATCTGTTTATTTCAAGCTCCTTTTCTTGGTTGGTGAATTATGGGAAGTTTCATGGATAGATGAAATATTACCATTAATCCTAAAGAACAGAATATAACAAATGAAATTATCACAGCTTTACTCTTGTAAACTCTTGTGCCAATGAGTTTGTCCTTAAGCTCGGTGAGTTAGAAGAGAGTGAAATTCTATCATGAAGTACTTGTTGAACTAAAATTATACTGTTTTCTTTTGTATATCTCAAAGGTTTATTGTTTAAAATTGTCACAGGAGTGGCCAGAAGAAGTTTATCCTCCATATGCGAATGGGCCTGGGTACATAATTTCCATTGACATTGTTAAATTCATCGTCTCTCAACATGCGAACAAGAGCTTAAGGGTCAGTCACTCATAGTTTAATTTTTGCTACCTTCTTTACTTGTTGTGTTCTTAATGTTAAACTCTTTAGTATGTATATGTATAAACTATGTTGTTTTCTTTTTGCTTTATATGTATAGCTTTTCAAGATGGAAGATGTGAGCATGGGAATGTGGGTGGAGCAATTCAACAGTTCAATCACAGCCGTACAATATTCCCATAACTGGAAGTTTTGTCAGTACGGATGTTTGGTTGACTATTACACTGCACATTATCAATCCCCAAGACAAATGATCTGTCTTTGGGACAAGTTGGCTAGAGGCCGAGCTCATTGCTGTAACTTCAGATGACACAAGAGAAAAAGAAAACTGCTCTCTGCTTCTTTTGTAGAGTAGTCTTCTCTTTCTTGCTGATTTTTGTGCCATTCTTGTCCTTGCTGATTTTTGTCCATATGCTCAATTAAGTTAAAAGTTAATTATCAATGAACTTTAATCAATGATTTGCAAGTTAATCACATCCAAAATTGAGTTTTGAGAATGGAAGTTTTATGTTGCTAAGTGGATTATATCTAACCAATCTTACGGCTGGATTCTTAAGTCCAGCAGCAGGACCAATCGTGCTCTAATTGTGGACTAAGGAATCCACCTGAAGGTAGTTGTACTATGCTTCTGTGTTCGGCTCCTAAGGACACGTGTTACTATATAAGTGGGTACTCCGTACTTGGAGAGGAAAAAGTTGATTCAACCCCATGGGATTGTGCATTAGCCAAAAAAACCCTATGGATTGTGGCCCGACCCTCTCACCCACCTAGTGGGGCCAACCCCCTGTGAAAGTTTCAGGAACCACATCCTCGCTGGGTTGAATATATAAGTGGCATGTTTATCTGTGCATTATTAAAATGGGTGTGACTCAGACTGAATATAATTTGGAGCCGATAAGATTTTGAGTGGAGAAATAAAGTCAGAATAAATTGTTTACTTGTGACAGGAATGACATGAGAGGATTAATCTCCTTCCTTAATCTCAATTTTGAGAGGGATTCACCAATTACACTTATTTTAAAATAAAAAAGAGTAAATAAATATGAGATTGACTCACATTTCTCACTCTCAGTCTTCAATTATAATAAGTAAACATGTCATAGGTATAATTTATCACTAAATTAAAAGGAGAAGTTATACTTAGTTAATAACCAATTTACGACCAATTTTCTTTAAAAAGTTTATTAATCATGTCAAAGTGTCAACATTGACAATGAATAAATTAGTTAAAAAAAGATTAATCCCACGAATAATATATGAGGTTTGTCTTCAATTTTATTTTATCTCTGATTTTTAAAATGTTTTATAGTTGGTCTCTGATATTTTACTTTCTTACTTTATAGAGAAAAAAAGAACAAAAAAAAAAAAA